GAGGCGCAGTGAAAAGAACAATGTTTTGAACATCGATCTTGGATAAGAATCTCTCACCATTTTCTCCCATTTCGATAAATTAAAGTCTAATATTAATAAATGGTGTGTTTTGTTAAAAAAAAAATTACTAAATTAATTACAGGCTGCCAGTGGAGTCAGAATTGATCAGTGGATATTTACTCTAGCTTTATTGTTTATTTTCTTCTATAATGGCTAATATATTTACTGTTACATCGTGTGCTTTAATTTATTAATTTTAATTACTTTCTCGTTTATTTAGTTTATCTACTTGTGTTGTCCTCATATATTAATTGGTTTACACTAAATGACTTGATCATGTCTCGCTTAATTGTTAATGTAATACCCTTAATTAATTTTTTAAAAAAATTAAAATTAATGTATAAAAATTTATTTTTAAATTTTTAAATTTTTATTTAATCTAAAAATGAGAAAAAAATAGGTGGATGATGAAATTGAAAACAATTTTGGATAGAAAAAGGGGTGAAAATTTGGTCTTTGGGAGTGTTTTTAAAAGAAAAATTATAAACTGGAGGTCAAAATGTAATTTAAGAAAAATATGTCATGTAGGACGCTCAGTCAGCAGTCTCGACGAATCGGAGCACGCCGCATGACAAGACACGCTAACGTGGTGCCATGCGGAAGGCCACACTAGCAATATATGTGATCGCAATCGAACGGTCCGGATTTGTTCCCGCACGTGTGGATGGTCCGGATCCATTCTTCTTTTGAAAAGATATCGTAAGATTCATATCAAATCGCGATGAACGGTCCAAATTCACTTCTTATTTAAACGTGATTGAACGGTTCAGATCAAACGCGATGGACGGTCCAAATTAAAAGGAGACAGATATAAATATCTCACTTCACACCAAATTTTAACGTTAGCCGCTGTGCCAGAGCATCGTCCGACCACTAAAATAGGTAAAAAAAATTTCATTCCCGTGAAATTCGATTTTGAACACCCCCATGACTAAATTGGAGCAAAAGGACTGGCGGATGAGCCAGAAACCACATGTAAAGTCCGGTGGTGCCACCACAGAAAAAATTAAAAATCGCCTCCAATGAAACCCTTTATGATTCCCGTTGTATAATTTTTTCACTATTATATTCACCATTTTGTTTTTCACAGGTTGACTGAAGAAAAACGTCCAACCGCGAAGGTGAGCCAGCAAAACCACCGCACCAGAAAACTCTGCCGCAAGTAAGCTTCTGTTTTTCAATTTTTTTCGGCCAACTGATGTCCCTTAATATATTTTCTTGCAAGAATGAGTATTAAACTGACCAAAATTGCCCAACCTAAGGCAAACCACCATCGCGGATGGCAATGCCATCGCCGGAGCACGGCGACACCGCAGTGCTGGAATCCCAAAATTGGCCAGAAAGGATTTCTAACATCGATTTTGAGTTTTTTTTTTTTGTATTTCTAGGTACTTAGGGCGTATTTTAATGTCTGAAAAAAATTCAGGGAGACCAGGGAACCCCAGTAGGCGCAACTAAAAACTTAACATTTCGGATATCGATTCAAGTAAGAATCATTCACTCTATTACTTGCTATGGAATTGAAGTTTAATTATAAATAATGTGGTATTTTGTATGATTTAGAAAATCTTAATAATTAATCACAGGTTACTAATGAAGTCATAAACGGTTATTATTCACCGTTTATCCTGTTTGATTGATTTTATAGTTTTTTATGCATGATAATGCGCAGGAGTTGGTAAGATGATTTAGTTGTATTTTCTTGATGCATGTATTGTTTGTTTTACGTGATTTACAATTAACTTGTGAAACCGAAAATTAAATATAAATGGAAAATTATTTGATTAAGTGAGTGAATGAATGGTAACCTTACTAGATATCCTGGGAGATGGTGGATAGACTGAGTACGTAGGGAACCCTACTGTAAACCAACGTTCATACCGGACGGGGTATGGAGGATTGGTAATTTGGCACTCATACCGGACGAGGTATAGGGATGGCTCGTTTCACCCTCATACCGGATATGGTATTGAGGGATGATATTTGACGTTCATACCGGACGGGATATGGGAACAGTCGGTTAATTGAAAATATTGAATAAGGGTTCACACGTAGTGGGGACATCTCTATGAACCCTCATGGATATTAGTAGGTAGATAAAAAAGGAAATGTTGTTATTCTGGTTAATTGTACATGAGATTATGAGATTGTTTGTGTCATTGCCTCTATAGGTCAGTTTTGAAAATTTCACTACGGTAAATGTACAATAAATAATTTTACTCATGATAAATGAATTTACTTAAAATAAGATTTCCATTAGTTATTTTCATGATTTTTACTAACCTTCATTTTTGTATCGGTGAGTAATGTGATATTCTTACTGGGCTAGTGTAGCTCACTCTTTCATTAAACATTTCAGATTAAGAGGACCAAAATCCAGGTCCTAATCCACATGAGGGTTGCAAGTAGGACATTCAGTTTGTTTACTTTTCATTTATTTATTTGATTATTAGTTGTTCTTTTAGAATGATCATTCTCGTTGCAC